CAGCAAAAAACAAAAACAAAACTGGACTGCTGGTAAAAGCAACAATCCAATCATTTGGCCAACTGGATATTTACATTAACACAACTCTACTCAAAAAGGAAAATTGGTTGAGGTTGCTACCAACCTCATTACTATTCGTAATTTTCAAAATTGAAAGGGGGAATAAAAGGTAACGGTAATTTGTTGAGAAACCTCTTTTTGTTAGTGAATTGTGAATAATAACAAAGTTGGTAACAGCTTGGTTACATTCCATTTGTGCATGGAAATTCATTTAATGCAAATATCCATATTCACGAGTTCCAACACTGTTAACTTTGTTTTCTACCCACCGTTAACCACTTGTAAAACCGTCCCTTGAACATACCGACAGTTTGATCGTTATTGGTCAGTCTTTCCAATCCAGGGTTGATTGTGCCCAGGAAGAAGAACATGTTGAGCTGTAGCAAGGAGAACCAGATTAAGAGACACAGTGCTGGCCAGGAGAGGAAGCAGGAACGTAAGGAGGGATAACGGGTGCTCTTGACTTCCTCCGTGATGAGCTGAGATGACAGGATGACTTTATCAGGGGGAGAGGAAACATTGAGCTCGCTGTCGTTAACTGATAATAGAAACACAAATCATAAATTAAGAATGACAAAGGCGTGTTTTTGTCACCCCTAATCAGAAAAGTGTGTGGCACTGAAGTGATAACCAGGAACAAACAGTTGGCAGTTTTCTTTTCGGCGCCCTATTTACACATTATAGAAGACATTATGAATATCCACCAAAGATCGTATAGTGCCCAAGGCGCAAGATGGATAACTCTGCCCAAAAGGTGTAATTACCATGGCCGCCATTTGAGCAAGAGATATGCCTGCGCAGTTTACGGTAATGCTTGGGTCCAGGCTCACCAGGTGCACGTGCCTGCTGCGGCGCCTGCATCTTTGCATTAATGTGCATTGCGCAGGCGTATTGCTTGTTCAAATGGCGCCCATGTGATTACAGTGTTTTATGCATATTCACGGTGAAGTTCACCATCTTGTGCCACTACGCAGCGCTGTATACGATCTTTGGTATCTATTTTGGTTCACTGCATGGAACAATTAACCAGAGATCACTAATTCACTTATTATAAGAGATGACCAAAACATTGTCCTGTTATGGTCTGGCACTTTAAAATAAGAACCAACTCTAACCTTTGTTTCTTGTTTAGTAGGAGCAATGCTGACACAGGGGCATAAACAAAGTGGCAAAAATACCCAACCAATGACCAAAGTAGAAAAGTGTTTATGGCTGTGGTCGCAAAAACACACCCAGATGTTGAATATCAATATCGCAATGCTTTAAAGCCAGCAATCATGAGAACGACTCCTTCATATTGGTGATGTTAATTTAAAACCCCTGAGTGATACTGATTGGACAGAAATTCTAGTATCTGACCAACCATCTCATTTCTCTTCAGCATTATTCCAAAGACATTTATATGCTTTATTTCTGTAACTGAAATTCTGTTTGTAATCTCTTGATACAAACTGCAACCAGTCCTGTTCACACATTACAAATAAGGTCAAATAACAACCCTTGAGAACACTGTAAGTCAATTCAATGGTTCAGTAAATAGGATGTTAGGCTTAAGAGTATAAAACTACTGTTGCATCCACCAATCATGAGCACAAATCTGTGGTGACTCAGCCAAACCAAATCTCCGTTGATTTGCATGCACACCATAAACCTTCAACTATCCCCTCCGAGTGGAACAAAAGAGGACGTGTTTTTTGGTACTCACCGCATAGACGCGCCATGAGGCGCACAATATGCATGTTTGACGCGGAGCACACTGAATATGTGTAACTAATTTATTGTGCCATGTATGGTCTTTGCGTACAAGCAGAACACGGGCAAGAACCCACTTGTAACCACCTGTCTTTCTTTTCGCCGATTGGGGGTGCACTTCAGCTCGGGGCAGATAACATTTTATATAATTAGGACATTTTTGGTACAAGCCAAGGCATGAATGCATTCTGATATCTGCTACCAACCTTCTTGCAATTCTACTGCTTTTCCTGACAGCTGTTCTTCCATTTCATTCATTGCCATGTTGTCCACTCCCTCAGCTTCGGCCCCGTCCCTGTCTGATTCCAGTTTCTTCTGTCTGTAGCCAGGGGGTAAGGGGTATGGAATGTGCCCTGTCTTGGGTAACAAGAGGGTATTGAAGCACAAGACCAAACAGATGCCTGCCAAGATGAAGAATGATGTCTGAAGTGGCACACCTAGGTTTTCGTACAGAAGCTGGAAGAAAAATAATAAAAAATGTGTCCGTACACTTGACAGCAAAATTCCATCATGAGCAAATGACTGTAGCACCCACGGCAATGCTAACTCATGGAAACCGCGGAAAGAAATGCACATTGATAAAAGTAAAGCACGACACGACAAATTTATAACAAAAGCAAAATACTCAATTCAAATAAACCAACTGAATGAAAATTACAATACAACATTTACAATATGTAAGAAATTCATTCATTATAAATATCTGTCACAAATTTAAATGGTATTGAAACAGATTTGAGAAATGGAGCATGGGGTGGGGTTGGCAGCCTCCGTTGGGTGGGTGTCAGGTCCACGATGACAGTGATGGTGCAAGTACCCAAGGATCTGACACCCATCCACTGAAAGCTGCCAACCCCATTGTTCCTAACATCCGTCCCAGTACCATTTTAGTTTGTGATGGGTATTTTTATCACATTAGCCTGAACCATGCTGAAGCCAACAAAGTTAGGCAGGATTTCAATGGTCCCTAGGAGGTTAGGGTTAATGTCTTTCCTGATGTAAACTGTAAATGTAACATAAATTTCATCACATTTAGTACATCTGAATTCAATATTTCTGATTTTGTAATATACATGTACATTGGTCATGTCTAACTTCACACTTGTTGATACTGTCCCTATCATATTGTCTCAATCGTGGTGGACCTTATGACATTGGAAGCTTTCTGGGAATCCATCCATTAAAAGTGACATTGATACAGTTACTGAGAATCTTTGAGAGGTTTCCATACATTGACAGAGGTAGCATGAGTAGCCTAGGGTATCAATTCATCGGTAAGTGGAGTTTTGGTGTGGCTTAGTTGACTTGATATACCATGGAACACCTTGACTTTTTTTTAAATTGCAGGCTGTGAATGAATGTAGAAAGCAGAGAGGTGATAATGCTAGCAAAGGGGCACAAGACGCATTAAGATGTCAGGTCAAAAGATGAAAAGGTCACTGAAAGTGATAAACTACTTGTGTGTTTGCCTACTGACCCTAACGAATTGTTAGTACAATGGCAAGGACCTTATCGGGTGACTAGAAAGGTTGGCAAGAGTGTGACAGACAAGCAAGGGATCCATGGATATGATCTATCATGATAATTGTTACAGAGATATGCTGACAGACAGGACGGTGAAATAACACAAGCATTTGCCTAGGAACCACATTTGTAGATACAACGTATGATCATAACCAAGATGAACGATAAAAAGTGGATTTCTTCCTGTCAAACCAAAGGAAACAATGCATGATGTTCATTGTAATGACAAATGTGATCAGCGTCAAAAAGATCTGAATGCAGAGCTTCTGCACGAGCTTCACGAGTTAACCGATGTTCAAGGAAAAACGAGTCTCGTTGAGTATACTGTAACACTTACCACATCAGATCCAGCGCAGTCAAAGCCTTTTACTGTGTTTTACATGATGCAACACTCCTTAAAGAACGAGATTGATGCAATGTTGCATAATTGGGAGTTACTGAGAGACATACCTCAGCCTTTGCTTGTACATGTACTGGAAAGCGATGGAGCATCATGGTTCTGTATAGATTACAGGATACTGAAATTCCATTGTGAATTCCATCCAGAGCCTATTCCCAATGTTGATGATTTATTTGTAAAGATCTCATAGGGAGAATGTACCATTCACTTTAACATTTCCAAATAGTTAGTGTTGTAGAGGAGTCTGTCACAAATCCCTTCACGAGTCTAGTCACAAGTCCTTTCACAAGGCCAGTCATAATTTAACAGGGTGAATACTGAGGAAAGGAATGCTTTTGTCACAGTTCACTTGAATAGCTTGTGAATTGGCTTAAGACAGAATGACTTGTGATGGATTTACACGGCCTTGAATGGACTAGTGATGGACTCGACTACAACACTGAAGAAAGGATTAGCAAATTCAAGTACTGAGAGAATGATACATGTAGAAATAAGCCAGCATTTTTTATGTTGGAAGGAAGTCTCCAGCAATTTACAATATTGCCTTTTGGTATGATAAATGCTTCAGCAGTGGTTGCTTGTATGATGCATTCACTGTTATATGGTTGTGGTGACATAATGCATGACAACGATGATCGTTTGATAAATTCAGAAACCTTAGAAATCCACTTGAAAGACATTTGTTTGGTTTTAAAATGCTAATGTAAAGTTCAAGACCAAATAAAGGTCATATGTCGTGACCACATCAGTTTTAGGTCATTATTGTTGGAGAAGGGGTAATATATTTTCCCACCATATAAGTACCCACGAAAGTCAAAGCAATCATGGAGGCGGAGACACCACAAAGACGGAAGGGACAATCAGTTCTGGCCGGGACAATCAGTTCTGGCTGCAGTAGGATATTACAGTAGATTCATCCATAACTGCTCTGCAACCGCAGCACTAATATTGTACTTGGTGAGGAAAGGCAAACCAAATCAAGCAGAATGGAAGAAGCACAGGAACACGCTCTTATTTATACCTTTACAGAGAGATTGGCATCTTTACCAAGGTTGCATTGAAGTGTGTGTTCTTCAGAAGGAAGAGTCACAAACGATGGGTATATTTTTGAAATAATCTTGTGTGATACATCCATGCCATGCATGACAACATATGCCATCTCACTAGAAATCTGGCATATGTTTATGCCAGGATAACTGGTCTGTTTTCCGGATCTTTGACGGTGTAGTCAACTGAAATTAGAAGGCTACCAACACCCTATGCTGCTTTCCTCAATAATCTGTCCTAATATTGGAACAATAATGTAAATTATACAGTAATGTAACCTGTAAATGTGGTAATGTGATTTTCATTAAGTTGGATAATTTAAATTAAACAATTTTGATTTTGTTATGAATTGGTCGTGTCTTACTTTACTTTTGTTGGTGTTAATTTCCAAGGTTTTCTTGTGGTTTGTCTTGCTGAACCACTGAAACATTAGTGAATGGTTACCTTGACGACGATGAAGACAAAGGCAGAGGAATCCAGACATCCTGACAGAAATGTCATGATCGTTGACTTCCGCCTCCCAAAAAGGCTCGATATCTACATTGTAGATGAAGGGAACAGAAAGTTGGAGGAATGGCTCGTATCAGACAATAACATTTGGAAGGCTATGAAAACAACACAAAATACTAACAACTAATCATCAAAAAAGCTTATAGGCTCCCTCAATAAATAACCAATAGTCAAAAAATAACTCAACAAATCAAACATGGTCAGGAGTTGACCTGATCCGAATTGACTTGAATGACCTGAATTCAGCCCAACCCAACCTATCTGGCGTAAATCTCAACAATCGAGGCATTTAATTCAACCAATTTCTACAGCATTTACAACAATGCATGTTTTGTATACTACGCACTGAAATGTCTAGCCAAACAAAGTTACTATGGCCTGGCTGTATCATCTAAATCTATCAAAATCCAACAAACTCAGGTGTTTTATTCTCCCAGCATAGCAATCATTTATATAGTACACCTGTCATAGCAAGCTATACAGTAACCCCTCCAGATCAACTTGTTCAAAGGAACCCTGTTTACATGTCTACCTGCATGTTTGTGAACATGAGTTCTATTCCTCCAATAGTAAGAAATGATGTGGCTGGAAATAAGAGGTATGCTGTTTCCATGGAGCTGAATGCTATCAAGAGAAGACCTGTCAGGATAAATAGACTGGAAAGACAGAAACAGTACAAAAAAAGACAGTTACAATACAAAGAAGGATGGATAATGAGTAATATGAACTGCTTTGTGATGAATGAATCCAGTTCCAATAACAATTCCATTCTGCGTACCGTGGAAAAAGAAGGCTTTGGTTGTTGAAATACAATTACTGGAAGTCTGAAAGGATTCATTATTGAGAACAAAAAAGTCACCCACAAATGTAACCAGCATTCCGGATACAGGCCTGGGCACAAACACGTATCTTTGCTAAATAAGATTTTTTTTCATCAAGTTTTAGTCAATGAAACCTCAGTAGTACACCTTAATTGTTTGGCAGTTGTGAATAATTCTAGTCATGGACTCATGGACGATTCATTATTCGTCATGTTTCAATTTTTACCAATCTACAGTGATGTTCCTTAGACTCTCAACTAGTTTAGGGATAATGGGTTTCAAAAGGCCATCTGAACTTCAGCTATTATCAAATCCAGAGGGTACGCAGTTTAAAGTTTTATAAGAATTCATTTTATTTTCAAAAATGATAAAATTTATCGGCTAAATCACAATTAACTAATTCATTTCAAGTCAATGAATTGAGGAATACAAAATTAGGTCATTCATAAATTTCATTTAATATTTGAAAGCTCGAACAAATTGCATTTTACCTGGACAACAGTCTCATGGCCAGTGTGCCAACTTTATCTAGCACTATGCCCATGGGGAAAAGAAGAAATTCATAGCAAAATGTGGCAATGGTGAACACCAGTTGGAGCTCTGCATCTTGCTCAGGGCAGGATGGAAAATCTCCACCGGTACCCGCTGATGGTGAGGTAGTGGGTGTTTGTGTAAGGCCACTCTGACTGATTGGTTGGTCACTCACTCCGAGGAACTCTGTCGAGGAGTTGGACGATGAATTGGTGGTGGAGCACAGATGACTGAAGTAACCTTCCTGCTTGACAATGAAGACCAATGATGCCCAGCCAAAGACCACTCCGCTGAATATCAGGTTTTCAAATGTGCCAAGACCCAGGGTGAGGACGCGATAGGGGGTCAGTCCAATCATTGTGAAGTTCTATCTGTAATGTTCAATACATAGGAAGAATCCTGTGACTAATCTCTCCCATTTACTGGATTTGTCCTCACCTTTTAGTTTTCTTTCAAAGGAAATTTATGACATGCAATCACATTCCAATTTAACATAATTTTACAGTTCATTATTTGTGACCCACCATCTCCAAACCAGGCTGAAGTCGGTATTTGTGATGTTGAACAATTCCTCTCCTTCACCTTTTTTTTACACTTTAAAGTGATCCATGTTGAATCGACATTCTGTCTGCCGTAAGCTTCTTATGGGTAGTGATAGCTGTTAAACTCCCATGAAAATCTGAACAGTGGAAGTTCCTCTATTTTGGCTGGGTCACATTTTACTTTCATACATTCTACAAATTCTTATGTTACAGAAGATTAGAAGAAATACACGCAACAGAAAAAAAATTAGCCTGCAATGTTTCCAAAGCAGAATGGTAATTACGAGGCAAGCACAAGTTCACGACTGCGGCTGCACACTTGATGAACGCCATACTTCATGCCACTCAGTTTGCAGTCAAGTGCTCTCCAAGTATTTGTACTTTTTTGGCTAGAAAATAGTTAGCTGCTCATCATTGAAAACAAAAGGGAGATGTTGGAAGTAGACAACATGGGAAATTTGCAATGGAGGAAAAACTAAACTTGAGATTTTAAATATGAAACATTTTATAATCAATAGATGTTAATTTGACTTCGCATTGGAGATCCTAATTTTTATACTAGATTTGCCCTACTCCAAGGGTGTTGTTTATATATATACACACTGTATTTCTCAGGGCAAAACCTGGTACCAACGCAAAGCCAAATAGCGTGACTGATTTATTGTAGTTCCTGCTGCTGCATTGGATTCAGGCCAGATACCTACATGTAAGCCTGGTAAAACTCGGCAGTCAAGTAAGACACTACACTCTACACTAGTCGAGGGTGTAGCAAGCATGTGTGATTTTTAGCAACCCTCAGACTCAAACTACAGAGGGAATACACTGTTAGGGCTAAACCCAGTCTGTGAAAAAATACCTGTTGATTAAAGTACTTGGTATATACATTCTGTAAGAATTTTTAGAACAATTTCGCCAGCTGCACTATTTTAGTTAAGTATTTCCATCACAGATCACTTAGCATGAAGTCACATGGTTTTGTACCAAATACATGTAGCTGTTCAAGTGTTCAGAGGTGGCTTTTTTGTCAGAATTACGCAATGTTTGCTGCAATCTCCAAAATGCATGCTACCCATTTAAAAGCAATGTGAACAAGGATAGAGGGTTGCTCTGAAAGAAATGGGTTAGGCTGCAGCAAGAATAAACCCCGAACTGTGGTTGTCTTTGTGTTCATGATTTTGGTAGTGTACGGCGTTTTGTTTTTTCTTTAGAGACGCTTCACTCTGTGCAAACCTCTATAATGTAAAGGTACATCTGATATATCTATATTATAAGCATCCGGTCACTAGCATCACATTTCAACTCAGAAGCAGGAACATCACAGGCATATCATAGAGCTGCAAACCCGGTTTGTAGCTCTATGGGCATATACTGTATATGTACGTGTATTTTGACACCAGGACATGTACGGATGATGACACACTTTGTTCATTTGTGTGCTTTTCAATTGTGCTCCTCAATGGACCATTGGCTGCTATAGAAAAGTACACCAGTAAACTAAGTGTGGTGTCACTGGTGCAACAAAGGCCTTTCGTTAAAAGCCACGGACGTTTATGTATGGATTTCCATCAAACCACTGATGCAAACAATACAGAATTTTTCAAACCTCTGCGTTCTGGTCACGACTGCAGGACTGAATGGGCTTTCAATCTACTCTATAATTCATGGAGGAAAATCTTTTTTTCAAGATGTATTTGAATGAAATCTTGTTGACTATTGTTATGTCCACCATGACTGTGTTCTTAATTTAAACTCAATAGGCCACAATTAAAATCTGAAATGGAGAAAATTATGTGTACTTTCGCCAATTGAGTCTTTAATGTCATGGCTTCAGATGTAAAATTGTACACTTTTTATAAATCAGACATACATGTAGCCTACCCCAGAAACCATTAGGTGGGAAAAGTCGGTGTCCCTCTTGCACAGTTTTAATTTCAAAGCCAATTTTACTGGGAAAAACCTTCATCGCATGAAAGCTGTAACGAAATTGGCAGTTGTCCTCGAGGAATCCGCTTTGCCAGTGTACATGTGCAGTGAACATTTGTCCACGCGGAACAAAAAGCAAAACCCTTCGAAGTAGTGGGTGTCACAGCAAAATGAAAGTAAAATGTGTTTTTGCATTATGTAAATGATATTCAGACTTACATGTAGAGACAATTATCAACTTACTTACAGTCAGGACAGGAATTCCACGCCACACTCATAACATGCAGAAACTCACAGGGTTCACAGGTACAAGAATTCCGTCCGTGCTTCTCCTGGCAAAACCAACCTTAGTGAAGCTCTGCCCGTTACCGGGCAAAGGTCAAATAATAAAAGCATAGCACTTCTAACTTGGTTCAGTAAATATACACCAACAAAGGTATCAAGTGCAACAGCGTATATTTTATTGTTTACTTTATCATGAGTATAAATACACTCATATTCTCTAATTTAATTAGTTATTAAATTTGATATTTCGGTGAAGCCTTAAGACCATCTCGTTTGCCGCCATTTCTCATTCCACAAAATGAATTTCATCATGTCCATTTTAAAATAGCTGAACTTAGCTTTACCATGGAGGTGTGTTCCTTCCTCCATGGCTTTACAATGCATGGCCCGATTATAAAAATCTTAATCTGGATGTAGTAAAAAAATTATAGCTTCAGTTAAAATTGCATAAACAATGCAATAAAACCAGCACACCTAGCCCCCTTTGGACGTTTAAGGAAACATATTTTCCTTTCTTCCAATTTCTCATTTTGCCCTAAACCAGTTATGAAATAATTTTGGAAAAGGAATTCTCGTAAGAAATATTCCCATTAATAAGTTTGATTTTACTTTGACTTGTGGCACCAGGTGCAGATCCAGGGGGGCCCAGACCAAATTATAAATATCAAAAAGGTAAGGGAAAAAAAAGGAAAAAATGATAAAAAAGAACTAAGGTAAATGTTAAAAAACATAGCATCTCACAGATTGTGTCACAGATAGGAGACTACAGTCTGCCAAAACGAGACATTAAAAAAATCTCAGGCCTGACAACCCTGAAAAAATTCCCGGCTCCGCCCCTGGGCACCTCACCCCTTGTAAGGCTTTATAAGCTAATGGGCAGCAATATCACTGAATATCATAATCACAATAAAGCATACGATGTTTAACTTGCTTTTGGTGTATAATGTAGCCTAATTAATGGATCTGTTGTCTGTGGACAAGAAGTACAAAGTCAAGGTAATGTGTTCAGAAAACCTCTTGAACCATAGTGGGTGAATACCCATATGACTGGGTCAGATACAAACTTGTCCCAAATAAATTTTGTTCTTGGGTTTTAACAATTCACGACAACAAGCAACATTTATTAGAGCATTAAAATTCACAAAATTGTTGCAACTTGAAATTCTTTTTGATGGAATGGGTATTAAGTAACGTCCATGACGGTTCAGTCGTCATGGCCCTTATTTCATCACCACTTACTGTACAACCAATCAGACTTGACAACAACAGGTGGTAAAATCAGGGATCTGGCAACTATACCGTCATTCATTTCTGGTGATATGTCAGGCAGGGCAGCTATGCGGACCTTATGAGCTTTGAACCTTTTTTATGGTGAAGGTGGCAAGTCGGTTGTAAAGGTTTGCGGTAGCACCATGCAAGGATATCATTTTTATGAGTTTGTGTGGTTCTGAAAAGAGCCGGTATTCAGTGTCTATGGACCTTGCTCCAGTGTAGTGTACCATAAATGATATGTGACATTTTTACAATAAACTTTAATAGCCTTTCTAAGGGAAAAAGGGGTATGAAATAGACCACAAAATTGCTTTTCATTATTTTCCACTGCCACAAATATTTTTCTTAGAAAAGAGGCGGGGAGGGTACATTTCCCCCTCCCCTGTGCATTGTTTTCTCCATCTGCAAGGTTTACTGTGAACTACTGTAGTTTACAATTACTGTAAGTTTTTCACAAATGCCCTTTTTAGACAGTAGACGGAAAGGAAGACATGTAGAATGACATAAGTATATGCAAATCCTAAATATCTATACTTTATTCTATCAATTCTTTTGCAATTTGATTTTTCAACTTCCCAGCCACGTATCTTCAATGTGATATGCATATGACGCAAGTCGTTTTTTTCCATCTGCACTTCTGGACGGCAGGAGCAGACTGAACAGAGCCCTCTATTGCTGTCGCACACAGCCTTTACATAGATGGACACTATGCAGATCCTTTTTCGAGTAAACCATTAAATGATGAGCTGCCTGGCTTGTTTGTTCTGATTTGGCAAAACACAAACTTAGACCATACAGTATTCTGCTGTCACAAACTTTGTGGAGTCAACATTTCAGTGTGTTTGAGTACTACCCTCTGCGCTTACTCCGGTAAGCGGGACTGTGTTTGATGTAACTGTTGTCGGTGGATGCACTTGCTTGGGCCTGACCAAAGTGACTGACCCACTAAGCTAGTTACTTGGGGAAGTATCCCAAAATGCAATGGAAAAAAAAAAAGGCGGCTTAGTTTTACGATGCGGAGTGTTGATGCAGTTGCAAATACTTCATTAACAAATTGATGGCTTTAAAGAAATGATATGAAATAAATGCCAGATATGTGTGCGTGCTGAGGTCTGTCGCATAAGTGTTACAACTTTTATTTCTTTGTGACCTTTGGGTCCAGAGATTACATCCAAAACAAGAACCCTTGATCATTTATTTATGACATGTTGCACATGCTCGCCTAAGCTTCTGACTTCACAGGTAAGAGTGAGGGAAGAAATCAAACACTGCTTGTGAAGAGTACATACATGTATAAAATATGTAATGAGTTGCCTTGTGCTTGGCACTGACCAATCAGACCACAGGTGATATTACACAGTAACCAATGAAATTCCATGAAGTGTAGACTTGCTGTCTGTCCCCTCTTGCATAGGTTAGGACACGAAGATTACGTCACCAAGGTTAGGTCACCATTTTACAGCATCTGGCTAACACTTGTTACACTCTAATGACTCAGTGACGGTTGTGTGATTTATTTTGTCTTCAGGAAATCTTCATAATTGCTTAAAACAATCACTCAATTTCGCTGGTGTAAAGGTAGATGAGGTTGGAGGGTCAAAAAGCTTGTTCTTACAAAGTAGTTATTTAAAGCAGTCTTTGCTAGGTGGGACTCAATGCTCTTTTTGCAAAGTCAGATTCCAAGTTCTCTCCTGCAAAGTCGGCCGCCAAGCACTCTTGGATTTCAATCATAGATTGGTTTGCCAGGTATCCTGCAGGCAGAATGTATGTGTTCGCTGTTCCCATTCCAGATGGTCAGGATTTATTGGTTCTTTTAATGTCCTTTCAGTGAATGACACATTTCCTGCCGCATCAACAAGGATTACAGTTGTGGTTCTAAGACAGTGGAAAATAAAATAGAATTCTTAAAAAATCCCAAAAACCAATGACTGATGTTTTTTAAGGTCTTTCTATTCTCAAAAGAAAGTACAAATGTGCTATATTCTAAACATTTCATATGTCTGTTATCAGACTTTCACCAGCAAAACATCTTAAATGTAATGACAAATAGCGCACCTTGTCCCATATGTATTAGATTTGATGAAAACCAGTTCCCTGAGCAATTCTCTGAATTTTGGAATGTCCATGTCCTCTTTGGAAATGTCTGAACTGGATACGAGGCTGAAACCAAAACATACAACACTGTCAAAATTATTATGTATCTCTCATTGCTAGTCTCAACAGTCCACGGACCTGTTCTTGTCAATGACGGGCAACATAAGCCAAATGCCACAAGAAAGGCAGGCCCAAAAGCTACTGATTGGCAAAGGCCAAATCAACACATAAAAAAACTGATACGTTCATTTTGTGAGGTGATCTTTGAGCCAGATGGTGCTTTTTGAAATATGGAGCCTCTAATACACGCTCTTTGCATTGCTTCACAGGTGTGTTTGTTTCACACCGATCTGGATCTTGATCAGTGATCCAAGGACAGGGTTCAGGTGTCAGTGAACCAGCATTAGATCACCGAATCGCAACCAGGATCTTGATCAGTGATCCAAGGACAGGGTTCAGGTGTCAGTGAACCAGCATTGGATCACCAAATCGCAACCAGGATCTTGATCAGTGATCCAAGGTCAGGGTTCAGGTGTCAGTGAACCAGCACTGGATCACCGAATCGCAACCAGGATCTTGATCAGTGATCCAAGGTCACGGTTCAGGTGTCAGTGAACCAGCATTGGATCACCGAATCGCAACCAGGATCTTGATCAGTGATCCAAGGACAGGGTTCAGGTGTCAGTGAACCAGCATTGGATCACCGAATCGCAACCAGGATCTTGATCAGTGATCCAAGGTCAGGGTTCTGGTGTCAGTGAACCAGCATTGGATCACCAATTGTGATCTGGATCTCGATGACTTATATCTGTGCATGGTTTTTTGGATATTTTGGTGGTTTCAAGGCTGATCAACTCTTTCCTACAGAAAGGAACACAGGCTAAAATATTTGAATGTTGCCAAGAACATCCAAGTAGGAATGTATACAAAATGAAGCATCCATACTTACGGTACGTCACGCGACATCATCATCAGTAACTCTTCAGTCAACTTGCCTCTGTCAAGGCTTGATCTGGGGATGATTTTCTCAAATTCTGTTTTCACGTAATCTGTCTTTAGCCACGATGTTCTGATTGTGTGGTTTGAAAATGCATGAATCCCTGTAATAGAGGAGACAGAATGTAAGGTACGTTTTGCTCTAGACATGATCATGTTCACACCGTAAACGCCCAGTATTCAACAGCTAATAAAAATCCTGTTCAACGTTGTGCAAAAGAAAGGAACCTGTGATAAACAGGAACAAGCATTGCCACCTACCTGGCTTCAACTTGATGGGATCCATACGTTCTGGAGTGTAGTTTGTGAAGTAGTTGGCATCAATGCCTCCACTTTTCCTGAAGAGCACATCATGAATGAAATAAGCACCTCCGAAACACAACTTTCTGTCACCCACTCTTGGGGTAAGAGAAAACTGTACTACATTAGCATTCATGTCTTTCAACAGTAACACTTGTCATTCGTGTCCTTCAACAGTAACACTTGTCATTCCTGTCCTTCAACAG